GTAGTTTTTAGTAGAGACGGGGTTTCACCGTGTTGACCAGGATGGTCTCGATCTTTTGACCTCGTGATCCACCCGCCTCGGCCTCCCAAAGTGCTGGGATTACAGGCTTGAGCCACCGCGCCCGGCTAACTGGGTTTTCTTTTAGAATTTTAAAACTCTTTGAGGGATCTCTGGCTTTCATGAAGAAATTCTGAACTGCAATACATAATTGTTTTTTGTTTTTGTTTTAGAGATGGGGTTGTTGCTTTATCACCCAGGCTGGAGTGCAGTGGTGTGATCATGGCTCACTGCAGCTGGCATTACAGGTGTGATCCATGGAGCTTGGCCCATAATGTCTTCTTTTTTTTTTTTTTTTTTTTTTTAAGCTCTAAACAACGATCAGACATTAGGGAAGAAAAATGTAGAAGGCCTGATTCATGAAAAGGAAATTGAAGGATTACTTATGCCGTGAAGCAAACACGTTCAGACTCTAGAGTCCCACAGATATCGGATGGTTTTGCTGAAGAATATCTGCTTTGACTCTATTCCTCATCTTCTTGTGACTCGGGAAGTGCATCCACCATAGTCAGGTTTTTTCTTCTACTGCAGTGAAGAAGCTGGAAGAAAGGCAGGTTGTGGGGGGAAGATCCCACAGGCACAAGCAGGGGGGACTTGTATTGGAAAGACTGATTGAGACAAAAGAAGAGAAGCTGTGGACTGTGAAGTAAACAACGGGAAAAAAACTGATTTTTAAAGCAGATCATTTCCTTTTTAATATGAACTTTTTTGAAGTTCTTCAGGATAAATCCATACCTATTTGTATGTTTGTGTGCATGTGCGTGTGTGTGTTTAATTTTTCACTGAGGTAAAAGATACACTGCCATAGCAGTGGACGCTCTTCAGGTCGGTGTGGGTTAGAGGGAATAACCATGCTTGGAGAAGGGTTGGAGACGTCCATTCATACATTAAACCTCTCTGCCCTAGGTCAGGTGCCTGCGTAATTGTCCCTTGCTTGATTATGAAGCAGTGATACTAATAATATTCCTCTGCACTTTCAGTTGAGGGAAGTTTCTCATAAATATTTATTATTTAATTTTCTTTATACTGTGCTAAGCACTTGGGATTCAAGTATTTAATGTCTCTCTAAAGAAACTGAAGCCAGTGAGTGGAAAAACACAAACAGATCATTTCAACAAGATACGGTAGTTCTACCCAACTGAGGTGTTGTGGGAGCCCGGAGGATGGGAGGGTGTGTCAAAGGACATCGCTCCTAATGATGGGGAAGCATAAGAGAACATTTTCAGGACAGACTAGTCTTCCTTGAGTCTCCCACAGAAGAGGATCCTGGGGCAGGGATGGCGTAGGGCAGGTGCCTCTCTAGGGAAGGGATTTGCAGCATCTGAGAGAAAGAGCATCCCTTACAAGACATTGGGGACAGAAATGTAGGTGAGAGGGTCGGAGGTTTGTAATCCATTTTATTCAATCATGGATGAACACTGCTGAGAGGCCCCTCTGTGCTGGGCCCTTAGCTAAGGACCATGACCACAGAGGTGAGTAAAATAGGATCCCACCTTTCACGCAATGCTCAGTCTAGTGACTGGTGATTCATGAGAAGTGTAGTGATGGTGGGTTCATGGAACCAGTGGCCCATGCCTCATGCGATGACCTCAGTGGCTGTCCTGGGCCAGTGACCCTGGACTTCAGCCTTATTTCAGCATCTTGAGGTACAGTACACCAACACCTCAGCTCCATGTGGAGTCAAAGCAGTTAACGCAGCCAAGGTATTCAGAGGACACTGATGATATCAGTAGCTATAGACTGTTTCCAGCTGGGGAAATAAAGACGTAAATTTAATAAGTCTTCTAAATGTGTCCTTGCCATAATGATAAATAACTTAATCTTGATAATGAATTATATTCTGGTAAGTTAATTATAACTTACCATAATGAGAAATAACTTTATCCTGAGTACAGCAGACACACAAGACCTTGAGGACACATGCCTGAGGATTCTGATGAAGATATGATGTCCACATATGTGCACAGTCAGACCTACAGGCCAGCTTTGAAACAGTGGAAGACCTAGTTTCAAATTCAAGGTTGCTTTGAGTAGAAATTCACTTTACCTCTCTTTGCATGGCAATGGGGCCAGTCTTCCCTAAGCTACCCCTTATAAGAAAGGGAATCATACTGGTAAGAATTCAGACTTCAGCAAACATGGGTAAGTAAGGAAGTCTTATAAATGTGTTCTAGCCACCTAGCAAGAAACCAGGAATTTAGCAAGTTCGTTCACATTCAGGACAGTTGTGTTCACTAGATCAGAGGCCCTGAGACATGAAGAACATACCCTCTAACAAGGGAAAGTGTTTCTTCCTGTCCTAGGACATCACTGCCAACTTCAGAGTAGTGGGAACACAGCTGCCCATTTTACAATATGGGCTGCTTTTGTGCCTGGAATGTATCTGATGTCCCAAGGCCTGTACCTATTTCAGGGAGCCTTGGGAGGAGCCTGAATCACTGATGGAATTGGACAGTGCATGGAGATGGTTGAGCAGGACGAGGGTAAGTGCATGGGCCTGGCCAGGTCATACTGGGAGACAGTGAGCGGCACTGATGGGGACAGACAAAGATAAAGTCAAAAGTGCGTGCTTCAGTGTCAAAAACAAACCAATAACTAGTTTGCTTTCATAAGCAATAAGTATTTTTCTATTTACATGAGAATTTAATCTCAAAACAGAAATCATAAAAATACTAAGTCTAGAGCATAAAACCTAAACTATAGCTCATATTTAGTCTTCCTAATGGAGCTATCAGTAAAATCTTCTTCATCAAACATATATTGTGGTTATAAAAAAGCAAAAGTCGGCCGGGTGGCTCGCGCCTGTAGTCCCAGCACTCTGGGAGGCCAAAGCGGTTGGATCATGACGTCAAGATATCAAGAACATCTTGGCCAACATGGTGAAACCCTGTCTCTACTAAAAACACAAAAATTAGCCAGGCGTGGTGGCACATGCCTGTAGTCTCACCTACTTGGGAGACTGAGGCAGAATAGCTTGAATGTGGGGGGCAGAGGTTGCAGTGAACTGAGATTGTTCCACTGCATTTCAGCCTGGTGACAGAGCAAGACTGTCTCAAAAAAACAAAAGAAAGAAAGAAAGAAAAAAAAAAAGCAAAAGTCTTAGTGAAAATCGTTGGTATTCCATAGAAGAGAGAAATAAATACAGTCAAGGGAAGACCACATCTCATACTTCTTTTTTATATTCCAAAGCTCCAGGGAAATTCCAGGTAATAGAGGTTATTTCCCATGCTGTTAAAGCAAGGTGGCAGACATTTCTGAATTTTGGTCCCAATACTCTAGAAGGGCACACCTCTGTCCTGGAAAATGATACAGGAATGGATACTCTTCCTGTGACTCATTCTGGTGATTTGTCCAGCATCACAGAAACCAAGAAATGGAAATACGGCCAAATTAATGATTTGCTAGCCCTCTTCTTCAGGTTTCTTACCTGATTCTTAGGATAACAGCATTACTTTGAAGATTATAATGAAGATATGCTGTCCAAATATGTGCACAGTTTTGAGCAAAATGCCTGGTACAAATTGGTCAACAAATAATTACTGAATGATTATATAAATATTTACAGAATGACATGAATCCTATGAATAATTATGGAATAATTGTTGTGATTGCTTTTATTGGCAGTGCTCAAAACTCATCCCTGTGTGACCTCAAGTAAGCCACATAACTTGGTGAACCTGCAGTTTCATCATTTTTATAGTGAAGAAACCTGACAGATTTTCCTTCTGCCACAGAATGTCAGGCCTCCCAGACACCAGAACATGTATATACCTAAAGCCTTTGATGTATGTCAAAGCCGTATGCTTACGGTGTTGCCGGAGGATGATGGGAGCTGTAGAGAGGCACGCTTTCCAATGGGATTGATCCAGTCCTCCTTGCTTCACTTCCACATGAATGCTGGGCAGCCCAGGGTCACACCCATTGCACCCTCAACTCAGGCAAGCCCAGAAAGCAGCCAAACATAGGAGACCTGGGCTACAGACAGTCTCCCAAGTCCCAGGCTCACAAAACCTGGGTGGCGATGAAAGCTGAGAAGGTGAGGAGGTGGTTCAGGGGATCGCTCTTCCCTACTCGTTCCTGTCATCTCAAATTCACCTCCTACTGCACAGCAACACGGAGGACCACCAACCACCCCTGACCATCACCTTGATCTTGCTGTGTTTGGTTAGTGGGATGCAACCACACCTCAACGGCGTTAGATCAACTCAGAAAAATATCTCTCAAACAGTATTCCATAAGGACCACTCATGGCCCTATTATTTTCAATATATGGACAAACGAAATGAAAACAACAAAATCATATCAGGTTTACCAGACTTCCCAAGATAGATGGTCACATATGCCTTCAGGAGATCTCTATAGAAATGATTTTGATGACTTGCCACCTTGAAAAGAGCTCTTCTGGGACTAAATTGACATCTATAATTGACAAGAATGAGATGTAGTGTTGAGTCACATTAAAAAACAAATCATCCCACATGGAGGAAGCTTTGGATATAGGGACATCAAACTGGTCTTAAGTGTAATGAAAAGTGGCTTCTGCCACAAATATCAGTGTAGTGATATCTGCCAGTAAGAAAATATAAATCAGCATAACCCTGGGATGCAGCAAGAAGAATATTGAGCCAGGAAAGAAAACATTTTTAAAAAATGAATTATTCACTTTCTAGTGGATACAGAAAAAACTGCAGAAGAGTCAGAGGATATCATGGCAGTGTAGTAAGTTGATATGTTAAACTTGTGGAAAAGCCTTCAATTCCGTTTTAACATATGAGAAGGAGGGGTGACTGACTTCATGGCTAGCATTAAGAAAATATCCCATGTTGGGAAACTTTCTGCTTCGATGATTTTATAAACACAAGAGATGAAAAATGAGGCACGTGCTTAGATATATTGGGACTGAGGTGGGACTGTGGCATTGTCACAAGGGTACACAAATACTGAGTGACTGATAGAGGAACGGTCCCCATCGGTTGTGACCTCAGGTGAGACCAGGAGGCCTGTGTTTTAGCAAACCCTGGGCAATTGGAATGAAGGGCTCCTAAGATTCCATGACACGCCCAGCTTCTAATTCTGTTATTGCAACAGCAGGCCGTTACCTGGGACTCTGGCCACTATCTCCCACACTCTTGTCAGAGCCTGAGCTACAGGCAGCACCTTCGGCTCTCAGCTCAAGCATTGCAAACATTGTTTTTGTGGTTAAGGACCCTAAAGTGCTGTGAGGAGGGATCAAGTTTTTCTGAACAGTAAGTTAGGAATTTGAGTTATTGACATCCCCCAGTCCTGATTAAACCTATTTGATTTCCAGTTTTTAACCCATCATGTGTTTGGGTTTCTTCTCCCCCGTCTCTGGCTGTACCTGTGGTGCCCCCAACGTCAGCATGGTGGCATCTGGCAGGACGTGTTCCAGGAAAACCACAGAGGTGAACTTTCCTGATATCATCGAGAATTCTTACTCCCAGCAGGAAGAGACCAAACCCAATTTCAGAGACAGCAAATATAGACTTCTTATGAGCCAGGTGGCCTACCTCCGGAACTACCAGCTGAAGACATACAGTAAGTTCTATAGGTTGACCACCATGAAACTGATGAGTGATGTCCTGTCTTGTCTCAAGAAACTAACCGTTCTCTTCATCAAAGTTAATTTCATGCTTCCCATACTTGTAGAAAATAGTAATGGGTATTTTAACATTTAGTTAAAGATGGAAGACAGAGGACACAGTATTTAGCAACTTTTCCACGTCTGCAGTAAGGTGGGTGTGGGACTTCTGTTACAATCCCAGCTATTGATTTCTTTTTTTTTTTTTGAGACAGAGTTTCACTCTTGTTACCCAGGCTGGAGCGCAATGGCGCGATCTTGGCTCACCGCAACCTCCGCCTCCTGGGTTCAGGCAATTCTCCTGCCTCAGCCTCCTGAGTAGCTGGGATTACAGACACGCACCACCATGCCCAGCTAATTTTTTGTATTTTTAGTAGAG